GGGTGGAGGGACAGCGCAGGAGAGGAGGGCCCTCTATGAGATGGATTGATTCTGTGACTGGGATAATTGGGATGGGAGTGTCGGAGACAGTGCAATTGGCACAGGACAGAGCGGAGTTTTGGGCTGTTGTACATAGGGTCGCTATGAGTCGCAAGCGACTCGACGGCACATAACAACAACAACAACAACAACACAACTGTTGTATCTTAAAAAAAATACTTAGAGACGATCCATAACTGTGTGTATATTTGCCATCAAAAGACTGGGGGAAAGTTTGCTTTTATTATAATTTCTATAATACATCAGGACTGACTGTTATATTAGTGTATTCCATCACTGAGCACGTTGAAATCTCTTGGGCTAAACATGCTCTGCAGAATTATCTGTTAAGAATTATACATATATAAGTAAAGACAATTTTAGCTATCATCTTATTTTGATGAGGAAAGAGAAGGTCCTCAATGAGTTAAAAAAATATATATTGGATATTGGTATTTGAGGAGTGGAAGAAGGCACTAAATGTCATGAAATCCTCAAAATATGCTATCTCCCACAGAAACCTACCCATTTGGTTCTTGGATTGGTATCTGCAATTCCTCTTGAATCTTTACCTGCAGGTTTCTATAATACATAAATTGTTTTATCACACACACATATACATACATACCCATCACCTCTTCTGAGCTGCTATGGGATCAAGTGAGCTAATAATTCATTATTATTAACTATTTTGCTCTGAATAAGCTTGTTACCAATCCTTCCACAATATGTTTGCTAAAAGTGTTTGAACATGCTTGGAAGCATCAGATCTTTATTCAAGTGCTATCTTCATTGGAATCCCAACAAAATTGATTATGAATATGGACTGTAGGGTTAAATGGGAAATGAGAAGATATGATTATTGAGCTCCACTCTTTTCGCCACATTTTCTCCAATCTTGGGCCTACTCAAATCACACTCGTGCAGTCAAGAACAAAGAAAATGTAATGGGAATTGCCAATTTTAAAAAAATGTAGTTAACACCACTGTGCTATCAGACTCTGTGCTGATGTATTCTATTCTGTGACTTTGGAATTTAGTTGACCCCCTAAAGGTGCTATGATTTTTATATTCTGTCACTAATCAGTTGGTATATGAATTTGTTTCTCTATTACAAACACTGATCTCAGTAAATTGAGAGCTCTCATGGGAAGCAACAGGGTGATCAAGGTCTCTTTGGAAGCCATCTTTTTTTCTTACTCTTGAGAAGAGAACCTGGACTAGAACGCAGGTCTGAGACACCGACTTTAGGGAGGCTGTTGCTAAATAACTCAGTAATCAAGATGAAGGATGTCCATGCATTCTTTCAAAAAATCAGCATTAATGCACATGAATTTAAAATGAACAATACCAAAAAACAGGTCCAGACCCTCGCTCCTCTCATCCTAATCTTAGCCTGTTTCAGTGTGCTTCAGATCAGAGAACTGTATTGTGTTACTGGATTTCTTCATGGAGCCAACACACACTTTAATGGTACTGGACAAAGAGCACTGTAGAGCAAATAGAAAGGGCACATGGATCATACCAGTGTGATGTAGTGGGGACTTGAAAAGCCAGATGCAAGGCTTTCAATGGACTCTGCAGTTCTTTGCTAGAGAAAAGAGATACTGTTATTAACCTGTGGTTAGTATTCAAACATGTTTAAATATTGCACACACGTACAAGGTAAAATGTTCAGGTATCCCTGGAATATATTCCTTGGAAAAATATAAATACTGAAGCATGTGGAAATAATATTTCCCCTGAATTCTCTTTTGATATCTGTATTTATCTCAGAAACGACTGGCAAAGTAAGCTTATATATGATAACAGAAGCAGGCTCTTTATATATTGTGTGACATTAGTGCCCCAAGGCAAGTCTTTCCGTCTCAGTCTTTATAAAAAAAATAAAATTATTTTTATTCTTTCTCTTATCTCTTAGTCATTATTACACATTTTCACCCCATATCCCCACTCCTTTCCAAGCCCACTGTGCCATGTACTTCTAGTTGCAGATTGTTCTTGTAGAAATAATGCACAATCTTATATTTCTTTTGGACAGTTCTTCCCATTATTTGTTCTAATGCAGTTTTCATTATCTATCCACTCTTTCTCCAGTCCCTGTCCAACTAATGTTATGCAGAATTTATCCTTCTGTGATTGAGATATTTCACTTAGCATAATGTTCTCAAGCCTCCACCATGTGGTGTCATATTTTATTATTTCATTGTTTTTCAGTGCTGTGTAGTATTCCATCGTGTGGATATGCCATAATTTTTCTACCCACTCATTTGATAGGGTTGCTTCCATCTCTTTGCTATTGTGAATAAAGCATCAATAAACATGGGCATATATCCATCTGTTTGAGTTGTGGCTCTGGTACCTTTAGGGTATATTTCCAATAGTGGAATTGTTGGGTCAAACAATAATACTATTTCCAACTTTCTGAGAAAGTGCCAGACCACCTTCCATGGTGGTCTTTATTCACCAAAAGTCAGTAGAGGTTCCAGTCTCCCCATAACCTCCCCAGCATTTGTTGTTTACTGCCCTGTTGAATTTTGCTATGTTGCTGGGGTGAGATAGTTCATAGTTGTTTTGACTTGAACCACTCCGATAGCTAGGGATTTAAAATATTTCTTCATGTGTTTGTCATTTAAATGTCTTCTTTGCTGAAATGTCTATTCATATCCTGTGCCAATTTTGTGATTGTATTGTTGACCTTTTTCTTGTTGAGGTGCTGGAGTATTATAGAAATTTTATATATAAGTCCCTTACCAGATATTTTATTGCCAAAAATTTTTCACAGTCTGTGGAATATTTTTTCCCTCACCATGTTGGAGAAATTGTTTTATGTGCATAGAGATTTGATTCTTAGAAGATCGCATTCATTTTATTCTCTCCCAGTTCCATCAGGATTGGAGGAAGGAAGATTCATCAACAACCTGTGTTATGCAGACAACACAACCTTGCTTGCTGAAAATGAGGAGGGCCTGAAGTATTTGCTGCAGAGGATCAAAGACTTCAACCTTCAACATGGATTGAAGCTCAACATCAAGAAAACAAAGATTCTCACCACTGGAACAATTGAAAGCATTATGATACATGATAAAGAGACTGAGATTGTTAACAGCTTTAGTTTGCTTGGCTCCACAATCAACACTCTTGGTACCAGCAGCCAGGAAGTAAAGAGACAAATTGCATTGGCAAAGTCGGCTGTCAGGGACCTCTCCAGAGTACTGAAGAGCAAGGACATCAGTCTGGAAACTAAAGTGTGCCTGATCCAGGGCATAGTCTTTGCAACTGTTTGCTATGCATCAGAAAGCAGGACAATGACTAGGGATGATAGAAAGAAAATTGATGCCCTTGAACCATGGTGCTGAAAAAGAGTGTTAAATATACCATAGACTGCCAGGAAAACAAACAAGTTTGTCCTAGAGAGGGTGAGACCAGGCTGATCTCTGGAGGCAAGGATTCTGAGGCTTCATCTGACACACTTGGGGAATGTCGCAAAGAGGGACCAGTCCTTGGAGAGGGACATCAAGCTTGGAAGTGTGGAGGGATGGAGAAAGAGAAGAAGACCATCGATGAGATGGATTGACTCAGTGACTGGGGTAATTAGGCTAAGTATGTCAGACAGTAAAGTTGGCCCAGGATAAAGCAGGTTTCAGGGCTGTTGTACATAGGGTCGCTGTGAGTCACGAGCGACTCCACAGCAACAACACAGTTGTAGGTTTTTCATTATGCTTGGAAAACTGTTTATGCTGTGAATTAGAGCTTCTAGAGTTCTTCCTAATTTTTCACTGATGAATTTTATAGTCTCTTTGACAAAATGATGTTGACAAAATTGGATAACCGTCTGCAGAAAACTTAAGCAAGACCCACACCTTACTCAAGGTGGTTCAGGGACCTAGAGGTAAAACCCAAAGACTATAAAATTCATCAGTCTTAATTGCACTAAATGCTTTAATGCCTCAAATGCCACAATTAGCTAGAGTCCTTTGCACCTTACAGGTTTTTGAGGAAGTTTGAAACACCTATTCAAATGTAGATATGCTTGGTTGAGGATAATCTCATCCCAGCTACTTGCTGTTTTGTGCCCTCAAGTCAGAACTGACCCATAGTTGACCCTCGAGCTGGTTTTCAGAGGCAGGTAATGGCAGGGAGGAGATAGCTTTTACTTTTCCTACAGAGCAGCTGGTGAATTTCTCAAGTCGACTCTGAGTCATATATGTCACAGTAGAACTTTGCTCCATAAGATGACTTACATTTTGGAAGCAGATGATGGAAGTCTTTTGTCTGAAGTGTCTTCGGTGACCTTGAACCCTAACCTTATAATTAGAAACTGAATATATTAACTGAACCAGTCAGTGACTCAGCCTCACATTAGATATTAATACAACTGTAAAGTAAGATGCATTTGAAACAAAACTTTCAGAGATCTCCAAAAGCCACTGTTAATGAATCGAAATGTAGAGGATATCAAAACAGATGTTCTCTAAACCACATTTTTGCTGAGGCCTGGGCTTTTAGATAATACCCATCGAAAATGTTAAGCAAAAACCAGATACAACTTTATTAGTTATAACTTTCATGAAAAGTAATACAAAGACAATTGTATGGTCTAAAAATTGTATGGTCCAAAAATCTCCTATAGCCATCTATGTTTCTAGTTTTCCAAGTATTTGCACTATTCACCCACTCATGCATAGCTGTTGAGTCAGGAACTGACTCATGGCTGACTCTTACTTACATGGATTTTCAGAGGCTCTAAATCATGTATCAGGAGAGTGTCCATTTCCTCCCCTTGTAGCTATTGGAAGATTAGAACTACTGGTCTTCGGGGCAGAAGCACATCTCTTTACCCACTAGGTCACCAGAGCTCCCTATGAACTATTATTGTTGTTGTTATGTAACATCGAGACACCTGCAACTCAGAGAGACCTTATATACAACAGCTCTGAACCCTGCTCTGTCCTGAGCCAACCTCACTGTCTCCAATACACCTACCCCAATTACCCTAGACACTGAATCAATCCATCTCATAGAGGGCCTTCCTTTCCTGAGCTGTTCCTCCACACTCTCAAGCATGATGTCCGTCTCTAAGGACTGGTCCCTCCTTGCAAAATGCCCCAAAGTATGTCAGACATATTCAACATATATTTACTAAGTGTCTTTTCTAAATGCTAGAGATATATAATTTTGGAAAAAAAGAAAACCCATTACTGTTACTGCTCATTGTGTAGAGTTGATTCTGCCTCATGGCAATCTCATGTGTGAAAAGTTGATTAGCTCCATTGGAAGGAATTGTCAAGGTTGGGTGACCTTCTGTAAGAAGATTGCTAAGCCTGTCTTCTCAAAATAAGTTTGAACTACCAGTCTTTTGAGTAGTGGCCAATCATGTACACCACTTGGGGTTTCTATCAAAAGCCCTTAAGGAATCACATATGTAATATATTTGTTTCAGCTCTGTGTAAATCTCAAGCTGACTTATGTGATCATTGATCATGTGCTCAGGCCACCTTTACTTGACTCCTTGCTCTGAGTATGCACCTCCTTTACAAACAAATTTCAGTAAACAGAATTAAGAAAGAAACTGCAGTGGTATATAAAATAGAATAGATAATTAACACAAATTAAGTTCTAAAAAGATATCAAACTCTATGCGCAGCACATTTAAACATACTTTCATTTAAATCTTAAAACAAATATACAAGGTTGATATTAGTGTAATGTGGTTTCATTCCAGAAAATCTCAGTATAAGCTTGAATTATCCATAGCTTATTTTCTATTCATTTGAGTATACAAGAGTTTTGGTTTGATTTTTACCATCTAGGAGTCACCTTTGGCATAATAAAGAGTAACTCACAGCCATTGAGTCATGGGCCAATTTTGACTTGTGACTCTCCATCAGGGTATAAATCTTAATATGAGGAGACTGTCTTAACTTTTCCCATGGAGCCACTGGCAGGTTCAAGCCTCCTGCCTCCTAATTAGCAGCACACTACATTTTGCAATATGTCACCAAGATTCTTTATAATAAAGAATGAAACAGAAAAAGAAACCCCAAAACTGATTGCCATAGAGTCAGAACTAATTCCCCGCTGACCATCTAGAGGGTTCTCAAAGATTATAAATCACACAGGAAGTGATTATTCATATTTCTTCAGCATAATAAGGAATAGAAATGGATAAATTTTATAACACATCACTATAGACATCGAGAAAGATTCGTTGAGTATGCATCCCTAGTTAATCTAGTGGAGCTCAGTAGAGACCTATTGGCTATAAATAATTTATGATTACTTGAGAAAAGTAGAGAATAGGAAGAGATGTTTGCCATTATTGGACAGTAAAGAATAAAGGATTTCTGAGACATGTACAGTTGGGACATAGCCTTGAAAATCTATTAACTGTGTAATCAGAATTTCATTCACTATCCACTAAACCCAAAATCCTAATTGTATTATTATTATTATTATTATTATATTTGTTGTTGTTGTTGTTGTTATGTGTTGTTGAGTTGTCTGTGACGCATAGTGACCCTACTTACAACAGCTCTGAAGTGTGCCCTGTCCTGAGGCAGTCTCATTGACTCCGACACAACTACCCCCATCTCCCCAGTTACTGTATCAATCCATCTCATTCAGGCTCTTCCCCTCTGTGCTGTCTCTCCATCATTCCAAGTATGTGACGTCCTTCTCCAAGAACCAGTCCCTTCTGAGACAGAGTTTCAAAATCCTAGCCTCTTCAGTCCGATTATGGACAGGACTTTGAGTGGCTTTGGACAAGACTTCTCAGACCCCAACTAGCAACATCTCCCCAGGGAGGACCCTCAGTGCCAGAATTGGGGGACCACTCCCGCAGGTGGAAGTGGATTTGGCCGAGGTCAGAACCACAACGTTCAGGACTTCCATTCATACCATCGCTAACGGCCCTGCACCACTGGAGGACTTGACAGTCAGTGTAGTGGGTGGCTGGGTGCAGACTTCCAAAGGCAAGGCTGTGGGTGTGCAGACTCAAGTTTTTAAATCTTTCTTTCTCCAAACCTTCAGCACAATTTAAAAAAAAAGTCACTGGTTCAAACAACAGGAAAAAAAAATCCTCGGCTCCAAGGAAAAACTTGGTTTCACCCTCTCAAAGACAGTCTTAATTTGTTTTCTCAGCAGTCCACGCTATGTATGTTCAAGATGCTTCTCCAGCACTACAACTCAAAGGCATCGATTCATTGTCCATGGTCTGGATCAAGTAAACTTTAGTCTCTAGACTGACATCGTTGCTTCTCCATACTCTGAAGAGGTCCATTTGGTTTCCTGATTGCAGATGCCAAGGATGTTGATTGTGGAGCCAAAAAACCTGTAGTTGTTAGCAACTTCAATCTCTTTTCCATCTATTGTGGTGTTGCCAATTGGTCCAGTGGTAAGAGTCTTTGTTTTCTTGATATTGAGCTTCAATCCGTACTGAAGTCTGAAGTCCCTGACCTTCTGTAATTGGATTTTATTTTATATTTTTAGTATCTTTATAAACAGAGGGAGCTCTAGTTGCCTACTGGTAAGAAATTGTGCTGTGATCCTAAAGACATACAACTTGAATCCATCAGCTGCTCCATGGAGGGATGATAGACAGTCTCTTACTGTAGGATTAACTAAAACTCATGGAAGGCTATGGTTTGGTTCCAATTCAACAGAACAAACGAGTTTCTTTAGGTCAGAGCTTAAGCTGGCATGTCTTTTCTAATACAAACATTTTTAGCACTATAAATTTTCCTTTATATACTGCTTTAGCTATACTCAACAATTTTGTTGTGTTATTTCATGTCACTAAAAGTATTTTCAGGTTTCCTTTTTGTATATGTGTTTAAACCTGTGGATTAATTTGAATTGGTTATCTAATTCATAATTAGATATTTTTCACAATATCTCATTGTTATTGATTTACAATATTGTTGTTGTGTACCATTGAGTCAGAACATAGTTGATCTTTCAGTAGGTTTTCAGAGGCAGCAAATCACGTGGAAAGAGATTGTTCATATCTCTCCCATGGAAAAGCTGGTGAATTTGAACTATGTATCTTTAGGTTGATAGCACAATTCCTTACCACTAAGCCACTAGGAGAGTAGTGAGGCTATTCCTTGAAAAGGGATATCACACTTGGGAAAGTGGAGGGTTGCTGAAAAAAAGGAAGATATCCAACCAGATAAACTGACTCAGTGACTGCTACAATGTCAGAGGTAATGAAGTTTCCCAGGATAGGACAAGATTTAGATCTGTTGTTCTTAGTGTTGCTATGAGTTGTACTCAGCTTGATAGCACCTAACAACAAGGCAGCAGAGTTCCCTATTGATTTCTAATATATGTCTTCAGTAGGCAAAGAAGACACTTTCTACAGAATTTTAATTCTTTCACGTTGACTTGCTTATCTAATGCAGTCTATGTTCATAAACATTCCAATAAAGAATAAAAATCCTATTTCATTATTGTCAATGTCTCCTTGTGCATTAAGAGAAACTGCTTTATGTTTCACACTTGACTCCTGTTCTCCTTTCCTTATATTTTAATTAAAAACTTCATTTCTGAGGAACTATGCTGAATTATTATCCATCATTCACTTCAGTTGGTTTAGTGTTAATTCCACATTAAATACATACACAACACCTTTTTATTGATTAGTATGGAAGATGAAAATGTCTTACTTGCAGGGGATGGATATCTGATAAGACTGTGTCATTCCTCATCTGTGGATCATCACCAAAGTATGCTTTATTCTCTACTCCCAGTGTGTCTCTAGATGAACTGTCAGGAAGGAAATGAAATGTTGATATTTAAGGATATTTTGATGATGGGGAAAATCAGGGATTAATGTTAAATAACCAAAAGGTATTTTAAAATACCGATGCTCGGGTTAAAATCTAAAACAATCAAATCACAGTATCTGAGGATGAAAGCTAGCATGAGTATGTTTGAAAAGCTAGCATGATTGTAGGTACAGAAAAGTTCACGAACCACTTGGATGACATGCTTGTCAGTAATGCTTCTCTAGTACATAGAAAATGGATACTTACCTTTGACTTTGCTTCAACCTAATACATTTTTTGTAACGTATTAATAATATGCCAATCCCAACTCCAACAACAACCAGCACAACCACTACAACCAGGATGACGACATCTGTAATATTTAGAAATAGGGGCTTCAGTTAGGGGCTTAGATCAGCATAGTAGAATGTTAACATGATCCATTTTTAACCCAAGTGTTCTAATCTTGTTTCTTTTTTTCTTCAAGGACTTTCATCTTCTATCCCCAGTTAAAGTCAAAATACTACATAAATTACTATGTGTTCCATGGGAAAAAGATGGGCAACCTATTCCCATACAATTTCCAGCCTCCTGAAAATCTCCTGGAAAATCAGCTATGATTTGGTTCAAACTTGATAGCAATGTATTTGAGTTTGTTTTTTTCTTTTTTTTAAAGCAACTAATACTCTACCTACTGTTCTAGTACGATTGTTCAAAAAACACTCTTGCCTTTGTGTCAGAGTCAATTCATAGCCGAGCCTCCATATGGTTTTCCAAGGCTGTAAATCACACAAGAGAAGACTGTCCATCTTTCTCTTACTGATCCCCTAGTGAACTTGAACCCTGACAAACACGTGGCCTTTAGGTTGACAGTGCAACTCCATACAGACTAGGCCACCAGAGAGGAGTCACCATCAGTGGGGAAGGCTTTGGTTGTCACTTACCAACTGAATACAGAAAAGGCCTTGTTGTACTGTGAGTTCTTAGAATTATTAATTAAAATTTAGCCAGAAGAGGGTACATGCTCTGCCGGGAAAAGGAGGGACAATCTCCTCCTGTACCAGTCAGATCTGATTTGACAGTACACTCACGCAAAAATAATAAAATTTAAAAAAAATAAATTAAAAAAAGAGGGTACAGTAATTCTAAAAATGATACGTAATAAATGCTAATTTTGACATTATAATACACAAAGAACTTCTTTAACTATGAAAGTAAGTACAGTAATAATGATTTAACAGATTCAAAAAGTAAGATATCTCTGGCAAAGTTTCTCTCTCACAGACACGCATACATACACATAAAATATTCTAAGATGCTCACTTGTAATATTTAAAGTTTCTTCCCAGTCTTGCTCTTCACACAGGCATTCAACTTCTTGGCTATCCACCTGGAAGAGCAATCAATCATACAATGTTATCAGATAACTGGCATTAAGTTGCATTTTTCATCTCACCTTTATGCTAGTTCTACAGCAAACACACACTTATATGTATATACAAGCGTTTAACTGATGATTGACCCAACTGAATAAAAAAAAAATCAATGTTGCATAAAGCTAAGCAAGCAAATTACAAGCAATAACCACCTTTGTAGAAGTCCTTTACAGAAGTTAATGATCTAAGAAAATCAAAGATCAATTAACAACTTGATATGACTTATCCAGAAAGCATTGATATTATTAAACAAATGACTTCTGCTGAAGTTAAACACATCACAGGCAAAGGACAGATTTCAAAGATTATAATCAAACCAGGATAATAGTGTGAGAAAATTTTGGTGACATACAATTTAGTTCATTGAAGAACAGTTTTGTGTTTTTTTTAGCTGCATAAAAGCTAAGTGTGCAGACTCTGAGGCTGTACTTTATGAATTTAAATATTAGCCTCAGTCACAAATTGCATAACAGTTTGGACTAAGTAGAAGATAGAGAAACAGCAAAGGAGAGAAAGACCCTCAACCAGGTAAACGCAAACTTGATTGGATAAATGGGCATGGGGGGGTTGAAGACTGTGAGCATGGCACATAACAGGACACTGTCTGTTGTTAATAGGGTTGCTATGAGCTGGACTCGACTAGAATGCACCTAACAACAACAACAACAACAGTGTGCCTTTGTTTTGCCATCTGTTAAAATGGAAATAGAAATAATGCTCACCTTTTAAGGTTGTTCGAATGTATTTAAAATTTTAATACATAGACATAGCACCTGAAAGGGTGGCTAATACACACACAACTTCCTATACGTTACAGATTAATTAGGTTTAGAAAATATATTCTTCATACAGTGTAACTGCTAATATTGAACAAAGTCAGTTAAGTAACGAAACATACCATTTTTGTCATTTTTCTCAAGAGTTTTTGACTACGATTGCCATTGCTGTTATTTATCTATAAATAATTATGACAGAACCAATGTTTAAGCTAAATCTTCATAAGTAAATACATAAATGCTTGAGTTTCTAGATAACTGGTATAACTTTATAACAAACTTATATTTACAAAGCTGACAATCTTTACGTGTAATATATGAGTTGGCTATTTTTATCAGTCTTAATGATGACATAAAGAAAAAGAATGGACCTCTAGGGTATATTTTATTTAAAAGTATGTATATGAATATCTACATACATGTGTATACAAGTTTATGTAGATTTACGTACACAGGCCTAAGAATACAGTCATATGTAAATAAGTCATTGATATGACATTGCTTTTAAAAAGCTATTAAGTCTTACAGCGTTTTCATTGCAGTGCAAGGAGCAACTTGTTGAATTGTAGACATTTTTGATGCTGGCACATTCACCACTGTTGCACACCTAAAAATGGAATAACCAGTATGAGTTAGAATGGCTTGGTTTAACAATTTACATGCCTTTTCTTACAATTTACATGTTTTTAAAATCTTTTTCTAAAGTAAAATTACTCATGGATAGTCTTCCAGGAAAGGAGCTCTGGTGGCCTAGAGGCAAGAAGCTGCACTGCAATCCTGAAAGGCACAAGATTCGAATCCACCTGCACTCCTCAGAAAAAAGGTGGACAATCTTCTTTCATGTGATTAACCGCCTTTGAAAACCCACCAGAAGGTCATCTATGGGCCGATCTGACTCAATTATACACAACAACAATCTTCCATGAAAGGAAAAGAAGCTTTAAACATGAGTGATGTATATTTAATAAAAAAAAGAACAAAAGAACCAATGCACATTCTAATAAGTAAAATATAGACGTTTGTATAGCTGTATATATTGTTATAAGCCATTGAGTCACTTGTGACTCATAGCGACCCCATGTACAACAGCCCTACACCCTGCTCTATCCTGTGCAAATTGTATTGTCTCTGACACTATTGTCTACCCCCATAACCCCAGTCACTAAATCAATCCATCTCATTGAGAGTCTACCTCTGCTGCACTGTCCCTCCACCCTTCCAAACATGATGTCCCTCGCCAAGGACTTGTTGCAACATGTCCAAAGTAGGTCACTTGAAGCTTCAAAATCCTTATCTCCAAGGAGCATCCTGGTTTCACCGTCTCCAGGCTGACCCTGTTTGTTCTCCTAGCAGTCCATAGTATATTGAACACTCTTCTCCAGCACCACATCTCAAAGGCATCAATTCTCCTGTCATCACTAGTTATTGGCCTGCTCTCTGATGCATACCAAGTAATTGCAAAGACTATGGCCTAGATCAAGCACACTTTAGTCTCCAGACTGACATCGGTGCTCTTCAGTACGTTGGAGAGGTCTCTGACAACAAACTTCCCCAATGCAATTCATCTTTTAATTTCCTGGCTGATGGTACCAAGAGTGTTGACTGTAGAGCCAAGCAAACTGAAGCTGTTAACAATCTCAATCTCTTCACCATCTATCATGATGCTGCCAGTTGGCCCAGTGGTAAGAATCTTTGTTTTCTTGGTGTTGAGCTTCAATCCACATTGAAGGCTACAATCCTTGACTTTCTGCAGAAAGTGCTTCAGGTCCTCCTCCGTTTCAGCCAGCAGGGTTGTGTCATCCACATAATACAGATTACTGAAGAGTCTTCCTCCAGTCCTGATGCCACATTTCTCCTAATAGAGCCCAGCCTCCTAGGTAATCTGTCTGCATATAGATTGAAAAGGTGTGGAGATGTGGAGATAGGACACATCCCTGGCATACACTCTTCCCAATTTGGAACCATTCAGTATTTTCTTGCTATTATGATGACTGCCTCCTGGTCCAAGTATAAGTTTGCATAAGCATGATCAAGCGTTCTGGGATTCCCATTCTTCTCAGAGTTAGCCACAGTTTGTTGTGGTCCACACAATCAAATGTTATAAACTTTTTAAAATGTGTAGTTCCTAATAATGGTTAATTGATGGCACAATGTTATTCATTAAGTAGAAGTTGGTATTGTTAACCTGCCTACTGCTGCAGTCCAGAAAAAGTCTGATAATCTGCTTCCAGAAGATCCCAGCGAATAACTACAGAGCAACATTACTGTATGTATGGTTTATGATGAGTCAACATTTGATGTAGTCATAAATTATTTTAACCAAAGGCAATGGATTTATGCCCTTAATACTTCTTTGAATGATAATCTCTCAAAAATAGTACAAATATGGAATCTACCATGAGAAAATGAGAACTGAGGCACAAAAAGAGATTTGTACACCAATGTTCATAGCTGCATTACTCACCATGGCAAGAACATGGAAGCAATGCAAATGTCCAACCACAAATGAATGAATTGAGAAATTATTATACAGTTACACAATGGAGTACTATGCAGACACAGGAGCAATGATTTTGTAAATTATTACCTAATTTGGGAGGCACTAGAGAACGTTATGCTGAGTAAACTAACTCAGTCCCACAAGGACAAAGACAAATATTATATAAAACCATTATTGTAGAATAAGTATAAGAATCCCAGGGGGGTTGGTGAGGGTGGAAGCAGAGAGATGAGGATGTGCAGGGGAAGGGGGGTATTAGTTATGGAGGTGTACAATTTGACGGGGCGCTGAGGGAAATTGGAACAATGTGTTTTCGAAAACAATGTATACAAATTTTGTAAATAAACTAGTATAGCAATTAAAAAAGTCAACTTGGAGAGAGGGAAGGGAGAGAGAGGGGGTAAAATGTGCAAAAATCAATGAATGAAAATTTTACTTTTCTGTAAACTTTTGTTAAAAATCACAATTAAAAAATTTTATTTGAAAAATAGTACAAATATAACTCCAACTACGTCCACTATTTTAATCAACCTTTCATTCTGATTTGATATAAGGTCATATGGTTGTTACTATAAAAATTAATATTTATATTTATGTTTGATAACTTTTAAGCTTATTTTCTAATAAATTTTACAATCAAAGCATTATTGATTTTGCATTTTACTTGGCACATTTCTAACTATTTTTAAAAATATTGAGTACTTCTTTAAGTTTTTAACTGTTTCTTTTACAAAGACCAGCTGTATACTATCCTTTGTTACCAGTTCCAAGATTTTTTTAAAGAACGTACAGATTTAATATATTTATATTTCATATGATAAATTATATATTAACCTAATAATTTTATATAATTTCTAATATTATAACTTTTTAGCTTGTCTTTTGGGCTTATCACTTTTCTTCAAAAGTTGTTTTTGTTTATAAAATGACATTATATTCAAATTTTTAGTTAAACCTTGATTGAGTTGAAGTACTTTAAACACATCTAATGAAAGAATTTTCATTAAGAAGTGTTAGCTTTTCTCTGTATAAAATTACAACTCTGCCATACTTTTTCCTTTTTTCCCCTCTCAGTTGACGTTGTCTATTACCAAATTGAGATTTTAAGTGTGTGAAAATATGATTATTCATTATTTTATGTATTTTTATAATTTTAATTACAAATCCTAATATCTAAAATTTATTCAAATATTCTACAAATCTGTTTGTTCATCACTATTTCTTTGAGTTCATATTTCTACATTTTAAGTTTGTAAACTAATTTCTCAGTTGGATAACTTCACCTTTTTTTTAGAATTTTTTTAATGCAACATATGTATTTTTTTACAGCATACTTTTCCCATTTAAGTTTTTCCCATTCATTCATTGTTGCACATTTTCCTCCCTTCCCCGCGCCCAGTTCACTTTTCTCTTTGAAAAGAGAAAAAGTTCTTTCATTGTTATACAATCCCCGTTCCCCGTCCTCCCCAAGTCCACTTTACTATGCATTTCTTCTTCTGGAATCTTGTCGCAAAAATAATATCTAATCATATATCCCTTTAAAATAGTTCTTTCCCTCATCTGTTTCAATGCCGTATACATTATTTATGCAGCCTGTGGATGTGAGGATGTTGCAAGGAGAGGCCAGTCATGCTTGCAAGGGTGGAGGAACAGTGCAAGAGAGGAAGATTCTTGATGAGATGAATTGATTCAATGACTGGGGTGATGGGGGTAAGTGTGTCAGAGATAATAAGATTGACACAGGACAGAGCAGAGTTTAGGGCTGCTGTACGTAGGATCGCTATGAGTGGCAGGTGATTAGACGGCACATTAACAACAACAACAACATACATTACTCTGTATATTATATAAATATGTACACACACATTTATTCAGTTTATGCATAAGGTGCTGCCAACATTAAGACAAGCAGTTCAAATCCACCAGCTGCTGTGTAGTTGAAAGACGGACAAAAGTTTGTGCAATTTACAGCCTCGGTGAACCCAGTGGAGGGTCATTTCTGACTTGATGGCAATGAGCTTTGCAATACATCATCCAAGTAGCTCTAGTGGTGTAGTCTGTGAGGAGTTGCACTACTAATACTAAGGCTGTTCAAATCCACTGGTAGCTCCTAGGGGACCAAGATAAGGCATCTCCTCCCACATGACTTACAAGCTCAGAAACTCACTGGAGGGTCAGCTATAAGTCATTTCCTACTCAATAATGGATAGTAAGCATTATTCTAAAGATTCCTGGTGGTGCAATAATAGATAAGCTCTCATTGTGTAATGAAATGTTGACCGTAAAATCTAGCCAGAGACTGTAGGAGAAAGACTTGGTTGACCTGGTTATCAAAAGCAAACCAATGAAAAACCTCACAGCCCCTGAGTCAATTACACTAACCTCAATTAGTTTTCTGAATCTGACACCTTTACAAAAAAAGATAGATCATTTTCCTCCTAAAATGTGGCTTTGGACTATTGACTTATTGAATAGCAGCCCAATACAAGCCTGTGCTACTACCAACATCAAGGATTGCCTAGCAATCTTTATGGGGCAGTTCTGCAGTTCTAGAGTCAAAATCAACCCAAGGGTATATAACATAACTCCGGGGAATATCAGAACAACAGCAACATAGAAACTACAGATTCTAACTCTTGGACCTCTATATGGCAGAGTAGACATTCCACATCATAAGGTTTTTAAGGGAATAAATTTTTGTGAGTACAAACTGTGACCTCTTTTGCTCCAGGAGCATTGATGAGTTGAACCCAGTGATCACTAATTTGGCAGCTGAGTGCTTTAACTACTATTCCACCAGAGCTCCTCAACAATGCATATTATGTGTGTGTTTTCTCCATCTTAAATTGTCTTAGTGCCATCCTATTGCTTTACTATTTGAATAATAGCTAGCTAGCTGTTCCCAAGATTTCTGTTCTGTGAAACTCTAACTCTTGCTAGAGTGTATCTTGGATTTCTTACTGCACAGAAGTATGATAACAGTCTGGTAATATTTTTTCTACATAATTTTTTCCTGAGGAAAAAAAATTATTTCTCTTTAAGATCATACACAATCAAACACACATAAAAACTTGTTAAACAAATTCTTGACATTCTTGCCAGAAAAGAAAGTCTAAGTGCTTTTATGATTTCTTTTTTCCTGATATTGAAAGGGGGTTTTAATTAAAACCTTCTTCAGCTAAGGGACAATTTTTATTAAGTTTTTCTTTTCTTCAACTCTGTTCCCTTGATTTAGAATTTTGGTGGTCTAGTGAGTCAGGAGGGAGCTGTGGGAGGAATAGTGATAAGGAGCTGTGTTAATAACTCCTCAGCAGTTTGAGTCCAACAACTGCTCCTTGGGAGGCACACACACCAATGGTGGGTAAGGAGTGGTGTTGGCAACACAAAGACGAATAGTTTGAATAGGAGTTGCTCTAGGGACAAAGATGGCCAGTCTCCTCCTGTGCAATTTATAACCTCTAAAAATCTACTGGATGATCTGCCTGGAGTCAGCAGCAACATTAAATCTATACTAGGTTTCTTAGAACTTTATTTATGCTTTTATTTTATTTCTTTTTTTTTTTTTTAAAAATCTGTATCATAGGTAGCTCTAGTGGCCTAATGACAAGAAGCTACACTGCAACTTCAGAGTTATGCGGTTTGAATCCACCAGATGCTCTGCTGGAGAAAGAGGGGCAATCTCCTTCTGTACCAGTCAGATCTAATTTGACAGTACACACACAAAAATAACAAAATAAAAATTAAAAAAATCTTTATCTTATTTTCCTGTGTTATGAGATTTAACTTCTCACTTATAGCTTACCACCCCTTCCTCCCTATAGCATTTCTTCTTTGGCCTTTGCCTTACTGCTCACATTACACATAATTCAACAATCACAGTTTATTTTTTAATTTAAAGGCAATGCTTCTTGATGTCCAAAAATTCCATTTTTAAAGATTGAATAGCCTTTTAAATCTTATTCATGATATTAATCTGAGTTTTGCTAAAGGTTTTCCTCTTTTTTAATGCATATTGATTTCACAGGGGGTTTATTATCTCTGATTCTCTGGACTTTTAAAATTTTTAAATATTACTGAATTATTTTAGGTAGGTTACTATTCCTTTTGGTTTATCCGTATAGAATGGATTTACTATATCTCTAATTGGTTATTGGGATAGATTATTTTAAAACTTAAATGACTTCCTCATACAAATTTTTCAGGCTTAGTTAAAAGAAGTCTCATTTTCATTTATCATATTCCTTTTGTTTAATAAAGAGAAAACGCCAGAGACAGTTTTGTACAAAGCTGCCATGCCAGTTATCAAATGAACAAAAGAACCAATGCCCTTTCTCCATTCACCCCTTAACACTTACTTCATCTTCTCTGGTCTCTTTTTACTTTCAATCTCCCATTCTCTATTTTCCTTTCGAACACCTCTCTCCCACTTCCTTCCCTTCTCTTGCAGCTAGTTTCTTAGTGTAACCAAGTGAAAGAGTCCCTGCTTTCTCTTTCTGTACCAAATTAAAATCTACCCAGAAGGAAGACATTATTTGTGAAATTAGAATCCTTTTTATGCATTTTAAGCCCAACACATCTAAAAATACTAACTCGATGTATAAAGGAAAAGAGGAAATTGTTAACTAGTGCCTTTGTGTTGCCTAAAGAGACAGGCACTTGCTCTGCATGAATGCCTTCATTAGGAGTCTGTCAAAGCACCGCAGCCACTGCATCAAGTGTAGGAAGGCTTTTCTGGAAAGAACAGGCACTCCACGTGCTGATGTACAGCTACAATGTTCACATATGGTCAAGGTCAGTTCCTTAGCAACTACTCTTTTATCAGCTTCCTTTTATTTTATACTTCACATTGGCTTTCTGAGGCTAAAGGAAAGAACAAATACCTCTTACATTTTAACTTGTTGACAGTCCTTGAACATTCTAATATTTGGTTGAATATACCTGAATTTCAAGTTCACATGCTTGAATTATCACAAATTTAAATATCTCAAAAGAACATAACAAAGTCTGTAGCAAAGAATATAGTATAGCCAATAGCGAACTATGCTGCTAATCCAAAGGTCACACCTCTCTGATGGTTCAAATCCATCAGCAGCTCCTCAAAATAAAGAGAGGCAATCTCCTCCCATGCTATTTACACCTTTGGAAACCTAGTGGAGAGCCAATTATGATTTGGTGCTGACTGGATGGTAATGAGAGCGATTGAGAATTAGCTCTCTCATTTTCTGGATACTCTAATAATTTTAATAAGAAAGTGTATAGTTTCAAAGCACTCTTTAAATGAAAATTTACTTTAGGTTTATTTGCTCAGTGCCAAGGAGTCAAATCTGACTCATAGAGACCCACTATTACATTTCCAAGACTATAAATCTCAACCTGAGAAGAGGGAAGACTACCCATTTTTCTCCCAAAAAGCAGCTGGTGAATTCAAACTGCTATGACACTTGGCCTTTTTGTTAGCAGTGCAACAACTTGAAGTGATAATTCTGTTTGTCTTTTTTCTTTAAAAATATCTATTTTCAACTTAATTTCTCTATAAATTTCTATAAATGCCTTTGACACATCTGTCAGATTTGAGGATTGTCATATAGACAGGAGGAATACATAACACAGAGAGAAATAATGCAGTTTCAAATAAGTTTTGTTAGTTTGCTTGGTTCTACAATCAACACTCTAGATACCAGCAGCCAGGAAATTAAAAGATGTTTTGCATTGGGAATGTCTGCTATCAGAGACCCCTCCAAAATACTGAAAAGCAACAATCTCAGTCTGGAGACTAAGGTGTTCCTGATTTAGGCCATGGTCTTTACAATTACTTGCAAAGCGTCAGAAAGCTAGACAATGACTAGAGATGGTAGATAGAAGGAGAATTGACGCCTTTGAGCTGTGATGCTGGAGAAGAGTATTGAATATACCATAGAAGACTAGGAAAACAAACATCCCAGAGAGGGTGAAACCAGGCTCTTTTGTGCATGCAAAGATTCTGAAGCTTTGTCTGACATAATTTGGATATGTTGCAAAGAGGGACCAGTCCTTGGAGAGGGATGCTATGCTTGGGAGGGTGGAGGGACAGCACAAGAGAGGAAAACCCTGGATGAGCTGGATTGATTCAGTGACTGGGGTAATGGGGGCAGGTGTATCAGAGACAATAAGATTGGCACAGGATAGAGCAGGCTTTAGGGCTGTTGTACATATGGTCACCAAGGAGTTGAAAGTGTTTCGACAGCACATAACAACAATAACAACAATCAAGAAATAACAAAATATGTGCTGTCTGTATATTCTCCTCATAAATGCAGATGTTTTAACAATATAAATGATAAAACTGTCATCTTGAAATTACAAACTCTTTCCAATCTAACATCATTCTACCTATGCAAACTCATTTCTTGCCCTTTCACTCAAAATACATTAACATTGTCACACATAAATAGGCCACACACGATTTACCTTTGTGAATGCTTCTTTATTAGAAGTCATTTTCCTCTTAGATATTTGGAGAAATCTTGGTCAAGTCAAAGCAGAAATGTCACCTGGTTTAAGGTGTCATTCCTTGTTCTAAAAGTCAAGTAAGTCACTTATTCCTCTTGAGTCCAAATACATATTGATCAGATCACTATGGACGAATTTATATTGATTTGTTCTATTTCATTTAATCTGTAAATTCTCCTGTTGGCTCATCCTCAGGGCACTGCGTAGTTATACTATTACCATAGTACATGCTCAGTAAATACCACTGAGTGAGTAAAAATGTATGGCTATGTAAAGCTGTTTTACTTAAGGAAGAAAAATAACATCCATGTCTATTATTTCTGTAGGGATCTCTGGTGGCTTTGGTAAGGAGCTGTAGCTGCCAACACAAAGGTATGTGGTTTGAATTCACCAGCTGCTCCACAGGAGAATGAAAGACAGTCAGCTCCTGTGCCATTTATTGTCTATGAAAACCTGCTAGGCAATCAGCTATGATTGGGTTCCCACTTGAAGCACCATCAACAGCACCCTTCCGTTTTAATAAATATCTTCTATACAATACCAATTAAGTGCATTGATAACAATTACATATTATTTGGTATAGAAAAGGTAAGCAAAATTGGTATTTATGAAAGCATAATTACTATTCTGATCCATTGTAAAAAAAAAACCCAAAAACTTATTGTATCCTGTATTCTTGTATATAGTCAAATCTAGAACTAATTGTTGGGTAAATAATTTTCTTTCAAGTGATTGAAGTAAGTAATTTAAACAAAATACTGTGCTTTTTATCTTACCATCCCATTTCCACATTTTGTTCCAGGAGCAACCAGGCCAATATCTTCAAAATGATGATGCAATAAAAAAGCTCTGCATTCAGCGGTTACATTCTGGTTTGGAACTTGAAGGTGAAAGGTCTTTTCTTCTCCCCAGCGAGGAGTGTGCAGTCCTCCAGCACAGTATATCTTTCCGCATTTGACGTCTCTGAAGGAGAATGAGCATATTCTCAGATTTGGGGCCAGAGGCACACTGTTAGCAGCGCGGTGGGCTATAAAGTGACTCGATCACTTTTCAGAGCCAGAGTTGTCAGCCAGTTGCAGAAGGGCCAAGAAGGGAAAGTAAACAGCTGGACCATCGATATCTTAACTGAAGTAAAGAGGTAGAGGATACTAATTGCTTTATAATTTCTCCTTGGCGGTTACACATTAAACAGGTCAGGTTCACTGAAGAATACGTTTTATTGATAATTTAAATTAGTGTAACTTTAGTCACACTGTTAAGATTTTCTTGTCTTTTTTTTTTTTTTTTTGCATGGAGCTAATCAGTTAGTTGGTTCTTACAATAAACCTTTTGGAATCGCTAGTATTCTATCTCCTATTTTAGAAATTAGGCAGCAACAGAAAGAAAATTACAAGTTTGTTCACATTTGCAGTTTTACATGACTTGGAATGGAACCTATAACTTGTTTGTTGTTTTCAGCTCAAGTCTAGATTGTGACACCTGAAAACAGTATTACCATATTGGTTAGAGACCTACTGGCCTGATTCAACCCATGTTTTCCTTATTTGACTTTAACTTCTGATTCTCTCTCTCTTTCAAATTTAACTTCTACTAGTCTTTCTCTTAAGCAGGAGTGGCATCCACTTCTGTACACAGCTTGCCTTGGGGAAACCCTGCAAATGTAGAGAAAGGATGAAAGTCATGCAACTGTCGAGGACTTTCCTTCATAGGGTCACTATGAATCGCCTGCAACTCGATGGCACTGAACAACAATAGTCTTTCTCTTGCTGGCATCCATGCTATCATTTCTGCTTCTTTTCCATATATTTTCTTATCTAGTTTCTGTGTCATCTATTTTCCCCCTTTTCTTTCCTTTTCCAGGGCTCCATCTGCCTTTTTTTGAATGTCTTAACTGTTCCTCATCTTTTCTCCTTCAATTTTTATTGTTGTGTACCGTTGAATCAGAATCTACTCATAGCTGACCCTCCAGCATGTTTTCAGAGGCAGTACACCACAAGGGTGGGGAATGCTTACCTCCCTCAGAGCAGCAGGTAGATTCGAACCATGTGCTTTTGGGTTGGCAGCACAGTCCCTTACCACTGGTCCTGCAGAGTTCCTGCACTTCTACCTAGTAGATCCCATATACAAATGTCATACCATTCTGACAGGGATATGTCCTCGCACTCTTCCTACTCTAGTCCCTTCCTCATCTTCTCAGTGAAAAAGAGGTTAGCAGCTGACAGAGCAATGGTCACAGTGATTTTGCAAAACACGGTTCGAGGGCACTTGACCTTCTTCATTTGGTACTTACTTCTCTTCACAGGATATGAAGTTGTTTTTCACATTTTTGCAATATCCAAATGCATTTCCTTTTTTATTCATCTTATAGCAGATATCATGACTTCCTTTTGCTCCTGGAGTCCAAAATAATTTGATAAGAGTGAAAGAATGAAAAAATGAATATCATGAACCCTGAAAGACCTTACTTTTTCTTAGATGACAGAACTTTCAGTACTTGTGCTAGTGTTTAAAACAGATGGGATAACTATATCTACATGACCGTTTCAGAAGTCTTAGTAAGGACAGTAGACATGACAAGGTAACAAAGACACATAGCCTGCACATCGAGCTAATCAATTCGCATTAGAGGAAAGGGCAAAGTTATGAAACCCACATCCAGACAATTGCTATGAAACTGAGCTTATAAGAATGCTACAAAAAGTACAATTTCCAAGCTTAACCCAAATTCCAGCAGAAATATATTAGAGGAATAAAGATTACTGGGTTTTTTTTTTTTTTTTTCCTCAACCATGCACAGTTACAATCTCTCACCATCATCAAACAATTCAGAGCACTGATCATCCCGGGTGGGACACTTTCCCATAAAGCAGTAGCCTTCTTCATTCTTGCAGGGGACTCCGTTCACTTGGAATCGGTCCATTGGGCATGTGGGTGAGTGACCAGTGCACACTTCAGGAAAATCACATTCGTCTTTTGCTGGTCTGCACACAGACCCTGCACGTTTCAGCTGTTGAGGAAAAACAAGGACTAAAGTTGGGGCACTTGAGTTAGTTCAGAATGATTCAGTAGGTGAACAGATATTTGAAACACTTGATTTATCTGTAACAGCCTCTGCAGAAGGATCATAATGTCCTCCCATTCATTTGTTATTATTCTTAAATGTGTTTGTTTGTATACAACATTAGGTATAACAAGGGACTGTTTTTGGCATTTCCTATTGGAATAACGTTGGACTGAGTTGGAATAGACATAACATAGAGAAATAGACAGGTATTCTCTCTTCTCATTATCTCTTGATCCAGTTTATCCTTTTATCACTCTATTCACCCCTATCCTTACACAACTGGGGAGATCTACATATAAGAGGAAATTTTAATTCCTGTATAATTAAACATCTCCAAGTGAGCTGGGAACAATATTCTGATTCTCATTGCTGTAGAGAACTGAATGGAGATAGTCCTCAATTCAGTCATTCCTTACTTATCCATGTTGGGTTCCAGAGAAATTTAAAGATGATTAAAACAAGCCTTTTTTGTTATGAGTTCACAAATCTAGTGGAGTGGAAAAGTATTGATAAATTAGAGACCTGAGATTTGGACTTTTGTAATCTTCCTAAGAAATATTTTCCAAATCACTAAACTCTATCTCATTCCAACTCCGATATAATTTCTCTTCTGGGCATTGTTGTTTTCAGTGACATCAAGTTGATTTCTAAGCTACTTTTCTCCTTAAGTTGTAGCAGTACTATGAACTCATAGCTACAGAGCTGAACTTAGTCCTGTCCGTCACCATCCTCCTGATCTGGGTCATGCTCAAGCCCATTTCTAGTAGTCGTTAGGTCAATTCATCTAACTGACAGTGTTCTTCTTTCCCACCAGTCCTCTACTTTTCCCAGCATCATGTCCTTTCTGAAGATTGGCTCCTCCTGAAAATGTGTTCAAAGTAAGTGAGGTGAAATTTTACCTTTAAGGACTACTCTTTTACACTTCCTTCAAGAGAGATTTATTTGTTTTTTGAAAGTCCATTGTATGTTCAGTACTCTTTGTCAACATCACAATTTAAAGCAATTGACTGTCCTTTGGTCACTTTCATTCATTGTCCAACTTTCAGACAAATAGGAAGCCACTGAAAGTGCTCTGGCTTGGATCAAGTAAGTCTTAACTTGTTTCTCTTTAGAACTTAGAATAAATCTTTGATACCAGATTTCCCTAATGCAACACATCTTTTGGTTTCTTGACGGCTGCTACCAAGGGTGTTGAGTCTCGATAACTCCAATCTTTTCTTCACCTGCCATGATGTTGGTATATTGGTACAATGGTGAAGATTTTTGTTTTCTTGATGTTGAAAAGCAATCTATGTTGAAGACTATTGTCTCTGATATTCTTCAACATGTGCTTCAAGTTTTCTTCACTTTCTGCAAACTTGTGTCATCTGCATCACACAGGTTGTTGATGAGTCTTCCTCCAGTCCTGAGGCTACATTCTTCTATATGGTCCAGCTTCTCAGATGATTTGCTCAGTATTCAGAGTGAATGGGTATATTGAATGGCTATATTGATGTGTACCTTTACTGATTTTATGCCATACAATGTTCCTTTGTTCTATTCAGATAACTGCTTCTTGGTCATGAATATATTTTCACATTCTCCTCAATACTATTCATAATTGATTATTATCCACACAAACACTTTTTCAAAGTCAATAAAACAAAAGTGAACGTCTTTCCGGTATCTGTTTTCAGATCCATCTAACGTCATCTATGATATTCCTTGTGCCATGTCCCCTTCTGAATCCAGCTTGAATTTCTGGAAGTTCCATGTTACTGATTTGTTTAAGCTCATTTATAATAATCTTCATTATTTGCATGTGATATTAATGTTATTGTTCAATAATTTCCACAGTCTGTTAAATCATGCTGCTTGGGAATGAGACCAAATGTATATCTCTTTCAGTCAGTTGGCCAGTTATGTCTTCCAAATTTCGTGGCACAGAATGGTGGGTATGTGCAGGGATTGGATCTATTAGTTGAAATATGTCATTTAGGATCCCATCAACTCCTGGGGCTTTATATTTTCCAATGTTGTTGTTGCTGTTATGTGCCATGAGTCATTTGCGACTCATATCGACCCCATGTACAACAGCCCTAAACCGTGCTCTATCCTGTGCCAACCTCATTGCCTCTGAAACACCCATCCCGAGTACCCCAGTCACTGAATCAATCCACCTCATAGAGGGTCTTCCCCTCCTGTGCTGTCCCTCTACTCTACCCAGCATGATGTCCCTCTCCAAAGACCTGTCTCTACTTACAACATGTCCAAAATATGTCAGACGAAGCCCCAGAATCCTTACCTCCAAGGAGCAGCCTGGTTTAATCCTCTCTACGATGAATCTGTTTGTTTTCTTTGGCAGTCTATGGTACATTCAATACTCTTCTCCAGCACCACAACTCAAAGGCGTCAATTCTACTTCTATCCTCCCTAGTCATTGTCCAAATCTCTGATGCATAACAAGTGATTGCAAAAACCATGGCCTGTATCAGGCGGACCTTAGTCTCCAGAGAGACACTGTTGCTCTTGAGTATTTTGGAGAGGTCCCTAACTGCAGACTTTCCCATCGCAATACGTTTTTTTATTTCCTGGCTACTGGTGCCAAGAGTGTTGACCGTGGAGCCGAGCAAACTGAAGCTGTGAACAATCTCAATCTCTTCGCCATCCATCCTGATGCTACCTATTGGCCCAGTGGTGAGAATTTTTGTCTTCTTGACATTGAACCTCAGTCCATATTGACGGCTACAGTCCTTGACCTTCTGCAGTAAGTGCATGAGATATTTTCCAATATCTTTAGTGAATTTGAACTTCTTCCTTAATTTCCATTGGCTTTTGAACATATATTTAGAAGCAAGAGTGACATCCACTTCCTAACAACTTGTCTCTGGAAACTCTATGAAATTTGATAAATGATGATAGTTAAAGAAAGACGTCAGGACTTTTGTTCATATAGTCACTGTTAGTCGTGCTCATCTCAATGGCAATCAACAACAACAACAACTTAAGCTTATGCTACATTCTGAAATATTTCACTCTCAGCCTGGTCTTTTTGGTACAGTGATGCTGTGTATTTCTTCCATCTTCCTGTGAGGCTTTCTGAATCATTCAAGGTTTTTCCAATAGCATATCTCAGTACTGCAACTCAAGGCTTGTATTTGCGTTTCATTTCTTTCAGCGTAAGAAATTCTAAGTGAGTTCTCTCCTTTGATTCTCTAATTCCATCTCTTTGTACATTATATGACTTTGCTATGTCTTCTCGAGCTGCCCTTTGAAATCTTCTGCTCATCCTTTACTTTGACATTTCTTCCAGTTGCTTCGGCTTATTGATGCCGTATTGTGATTTTCATCGTTTCTTCATATTTGGGTTTTTTTCCTCCTCTGTCCATGTAAATGACCTTTTGGTCTATTCATGTATGATATCCTTGATAAAAACTCACCTGGAGAAGTCTTTAATTTCCTTATTTTTCACTTTAAGTTGTTGGTATGTATATTTTTAATAATAATTGTATTAATAGATCTACCTTGTGTGCATTTGGATAGTATCGTATATCTCACAAAATTGTATTTAAAGATAAATCTTGAAATGGTCTTTTTTGCCAATGAATACCACACAAGTCTTTCTCAGTTATTCATTCCCAGCATAGTAGATTATATGGTTATTTGATTCAAAGGGGAGGATACCAGTTTATCTCAGCTCACTAATGCCTAGCATGACAGTATGCATTTTTTATGACTTTCAGTTCTCCTGGATTCATATTTTGTACATTCCATGTTCTAATTATGAATATATGTTTGCATTTCTAGTTTTGCCACAACAGCAAATGAAGGTCATTCATTAGATGAGAGTTTTACTTCATCACCAAAGCAGAGTCTATAGTAAACTCTACTTTTAAGAGGTAAATCTTCCCCAGTCACATTGTGAAAGACTTCCAACCTAAGGGACTATATCCAACACTGTTCTGCAGAGTCCATTAGATTTCAAAGTCCTGTTATTTCAGAAGCAAAATGGTCACTCCTTTTCTTAGTGTATCTTAGATTGGAAGCTTCACTGAAACCTGTCTACCATGGGTGACCTTGCTGGTATCTGAAATACTGAGTACATAACTCCCATCATTACAGCAACAGGCAAGCCACCACACTATGGTAAACTGACACACAATGGCAAACTGAACGGTGTACACTGCTGTTAAGATACTGAATTTCTTCCCACCTGTGAAATTGGGAATTATTTCAAAAGGGGTATCAATAGTACTTATCAAGTGAAAGTAGCTGTTCCACTCCCCAGAATCCAGCACAGCTCAGAAGTCAGAACATCCCAGAAGAGACTTTGTTATGCAATAACAAGCATAGCCTAATTCTGAAATCATTAGTATAGGATGCAATGGTAAGAGATCTTTTCCTTCCTATGTATGCTTAACCTTGACCTAGAAAAAGGGTCTTACCTGACATGATTCACAGCATTCTCCTTCTGCACAAGTAAACCCTGGCTTCAACATACATTTGTCTGCTACACAACATGGATTATTGCATTCCTAGGCAATAATAAAAAATGAAACATCAGAAATTTGTTTCCAGTATGGCTCCTGTTTGCATATTTAATTCTTTGTATAATTTAACAAAATTTATCCCTGAGTAAGGGAACTCACATGACATAGGATGTCATATTTTAGGGTATCATACTATTAATCCAAAAGCAATAGTTCTCTGATGGTTCAATTACCAGCATCACCACAGGAGAAAGATAAGTAATCTTCAGTGCAATTTACAGGCTAAGAAAACTCACTGGAGGGTTATCTATGTTTTGGATAACTTAAGAGCAATGAGAATGAGATTTATCTATAAGAGATAAGTGTGAAGACATGTTTTTTGGCTATGATAACCATATAAAGATTACTTCTTGTAACTGGTGTTTGGAATAGTCTATATTCTTCTTTCACTGCTATCCAGTATCCCATAGCAAATGAATGGACCCACATGGGAAAAATAGCATAAAGTTTGTGACTTTCCATCCTCCTCATGACTTCTATTGCTTCCCTGTGGTGGTGGTGGTGGTGATGATGATGATGTTAAAAAATTGTTGTGAGATAACACAACTTCTGAAGATCTGATTGTATGTTTCACTCCTGACTCCAGTTATTTTGAGATGACCTTTCTTTTTCTCGATGTATCACTAATTATTGTAGATATTCACTTAGGCAGTTTGAATCCATTAGTGGCTCTATGGAGAAAGATGAACAATCTCTTCTCATTTGGACAATCTGCAGTCTCAGAAACCCAGTGGAGGGTCAATGGAGCTGTGAGTGAGTTTTGACTTGATGACAGTGAGTTTGAGAGTAAATCACCATGTGGACTGTAATCATGGAGTCTCAATCATATTCCAGTCAGACCTCTTTTGAATTGGACAGTGTCTAGCGTGGAGATAATAAAACTGTGGTCCTCTGATAGCACTAGCACTATCTTGGATTTCTTTACAGGAAAACAGAATTTCAATCATGCTTCAGACTTCAATGAATCAGAATTTTAACAACATTTCCAAGTGAGTCACGTGGACCTCAAAATTCAAGAAGAATATTTGCCATATGATAAGTTCTTGAAAAGAAGAACTATTTTTAGTGCCATTTTGACCTCTGTGCACGGTTACTTGGCGTCCTCTCATACCACACATTAAAGGCCTATTTGCGTCTACGGGGTGTGGGTGGGGGAATGAGTAGCTATTTTTGTGTAGTAGATTAGGAGTTCTTTTAAATTTTGCCTCAAAACCTTATTGTAAATGTTCCAGAGACCAAGCTGGCAATAAACAGGTGACAGGTTAAAAGGTTTCTGCTCTAATAAGAAAGAGCCTTCTAATAACTTGAACTATCCTGCTGTGATACAGACATCCTCATAAAAATTGAGTTAAACTCAGATCTCAAACTGTGAGAGATTTTGAGGAGGAGATTCTGACTGGGCATGAGAAATTAGACTAATTGACATCTATGGGCCCTTCTCACAAGTAAAGCCAGTTAGTATAAAAGCAAAGCAAATGAGATGCTGCTGATCTTCAGAAAGATGATTATGTATGATTGATGACTTGGTAAAAAGGCTTGCAACGTGACTATCTCAACAGCTTGCTTCTAAATGAAAACAAAATATGCCGTTTTTAAAGCTTTATAAGGAACACTGTGATTAATAGCTCTATACCTGCTGGTTTCTACCTAAGCATAAAGTTTATCATTTAAAAAGGACATAATTTTCAAATACCTGAACAGAGCCACAATCACACTCTTCTCCTTCATCCAGCTTCTTGTTTCCACAATGTGGAAAACTATTTAACTTCTCAGAAAATGCAATATTAGACATGCACGTCGGCTTATAATCCTTCAGATATTTCAGGAATTGGTTTTTGTTGCATTTACTAAATTTTACTGCAGGTATGCTAGAGACAAGATGAGTTTAAAAAATAATGTGAATGTATAACAATAGAGCAACAGTCAACATTTTTATGAAGAATTTAGAAATAACAATTATGAATGCCAAATTCTAAAATTTCAGTAGCATCTCTTTCCTTCACTGTTAGGGCAGAATGATAACTGGATTCTTTAATATAGGAAAAGTCACAGACTCACAACCAACATAAACCACATTTGTGATAATACTCTGAGTCTATATATTCCAGCAGACCTCTCCAAGATTCTACAATTTTAGATTAATAGTTGGCCATTGCTATTATTTTTATTAATTTATCTTATAATAACATATGCACTTGCTTACCACCCATACATTTTAAGTTTCTTATGGCAGAAACTACAGCCATTGAACTTTTAAAAAAGTCACCACTAGTTAACATGGCATCTGGTACAGAGTTGCTGTAGTTACGTGCTGTCAAGTTGAATACCGCTCCGTGACCCTATGAACAGCTAACTTGAAATCTCCCCTATCCTATGCCATCCTCATCATCTCTGACACACTAATGCACCTTGCTGAAGTCACTGTGTCTATTCATCTGGTTATAAGTTCTTCCTTTCTTTCACTGACCCTCCATCTTTTCAAGCATGAAACTCCTTTCCAAGAATGACCTCACCCAGCTACATGCCCAAAGTAAGAAAGATGAAGTTTTATCATCTTTGTCTCAAAAAAGCATTCTGGTTGCACTTTATTCAAGAAATACCTGTTTATTCTTTTGGCCATCCATGGGATATTTAATACTCTTCTCTATCACCACAACTCAAAGGCATCAATTCTTTTTCTGCATTCCTTATTCATTGTCCAGCTCTCTGATGCATAGTAAGTGATTGAGAAGACCACAGCCTGAATGAGGCACACCTTAGTCTTCAAACTGACATCACTGCTTTTCAGCATTTTTAAAGAGATCCCTGACAGCAGACTTGCCCAATGCATTTATCTCATGAGTTTCCTGACTGCTGGTACCAGAGGTATTGCTTATTGATCCAAGAAAGAGAAAATAATTGATAGTTTGATCCTTCCTCCATCTATTCTAACATTTATTGTTGATCCTGTGGTGAGGATCTTTGTTTTCTTGATATTGAGATGGAATCCATACCAAAGGCTGTATAGTCCTTGATCTTCTGCAGCAAGTATTTCATATCCTCCTCACTTTCAGCAAGCAAAATGTGTTAACTGCACAGTGCAGGTTTTTGATGAATTTACCTCCAATCTTGGTGCCACATTTTTCTTCATAGAGTCAAGTTTCTCAAATTATTTTTTAAGGATACAGATTGAACAAGTATGGATAAAGGATAAAATACTGACGCACCTCCTTTCTGATTTTAACATGTAATGTTCCCTTGATCTGTTTGGACAGTAGCCTCATCGTCTAGGTATAGATTCCTTATAAACAGAATTAAGTATTTTGGGATACCTATTCTTCTCAAGGTTAGCCATAATTTGTTACTATTCACACAGCCAAATGCCTTTCTAGAGTCAATAAAACACAAATAGATATTTTTCTGATATTCTCTGCTTTCAACAATAATAGCTTGAACTTCTGGTAGTGGTCAGTGTACTATTCTAGGCATTTTTCAATGATCTTCAACAACATTTTGCTTGTTGTTGTTAAGTGTTGTATAGATGCCTGTAATTCATAGCGACCCCATGAACAATGGCTCTGAGCCCTGCTTTATCCTGGCCCGATTTTACCATCTCTATCACACCTTTCCTCATTATCCCAGTTACTGTGTCAATCAATCTCATACAGGGAATTCCTCCTTTCAAGTATGATGTCCTTCTCCAAGGACTGTTCCCTCAGGGCAACATGCTCAAAGTATGTGAGAAAGAGCCTCAAAAGCCTTGCCTTCAAAGAACAGATTGACATCACCATCTTCAAGACAGACCTATTATATCTTTTGGTAGTCTATGGTATGTTCAATATTCTTCTCCAGCACCACAATTCAAAGGCATCAATTCTTCTGTCCTCATGAGATATTAATGAAAGTGTTTGATAATTTCCACATTCTGTTAGATCACCTTTCTTGAGAATGAGGGGCCGTGTTGTGGCCTTCTAAGTTTGCTGGCATAAACTGGTGAGCACATCCACCAGTCTCTGTTTCTGTGAGTTGAAGGAAGTCAGTTGGTACCCTAGTCCTAGGATAGCTCTTGTTCATATGGTTGTTGTAGTTGTTGTTGTTATGTGCCGTCAAGTTGCTTGCTACTCACAGCGACCCTATGTACAAGAGTCCTAAACCCTCCTCTATCCTGTGCCAATCGCAGTGCCTCTGACACACCCATCCCGATTATACCAGTCACTGAATCAATCCACCTCATAGAGGGTCTTCCCCTTCTGTGCTGTCCCTCTATCCTCCAAAGCATGATGTCCCTCTCCAAGGACCTGTCTCTCCTTACAACATGCCCAAAGTATGTCAGACGAAGCTTCAGAATCCTTGCCTCCAAGGAGCAGCCTGGTTTAACCCTTTGCAGGGTGAATCTGTTTGTTTTTTTGGCAGTCCAGGATACATTCAATACTCTTCTCCAGCACTACAGCTCAAAGGCATCAATTCTCCTTCTATCCTCCTTGGTCATTGTCCAATTCTCTGATGCATAACAAGTGATTGCAAAGACCATAGCCTGTATCAGATGAACCTTAGTCTCCAGAGAGACACCATTGCTCTTCAGTGCTTTGGAGAGGACCCTAACAGCAGACTTTCCCATCACAATACGTTTTTGATTTCCTGGCTACTGGTGCCAAGAGTGTTGACCGTGGAGCCAAGCAGACTAAAGTGATTAACAATCTCAATCTCTTCACCATCCATCCTGATGCTGCCAGTTGGTCCAGTGGTAAGAATCTTTGTCTTCTTGACATTGAGCTTCAATCCATACTGAAGGCTATAGTCCTTGGTCCTCTGCAGCAAGCATTTCAGGTCCTCCTCAGTTTCAGCAAGCAGTTGTGTCATCTGCATAACGCAGATTGTTAATAGATCTTCTACCAATCCTGGAGCCACACTTCTCCTCATAGAGCCCAGCCTCCCGGATAATCTGCTCTGCATACAGGTTGAAAAGGTATGGAGACAAGACACATCCCTGGCTTACGCACTTCCCAATTTTGAACCATGCAGTGTTTCCCTCCTCTGTTCTGATGACACTCAGATATACATTCTTCAGGTATTAACTGCTTTCACCTAAGATCCATCTAACATCAGCTACAATATCCCTAGTACCACGATCGCTTCTAAACTCAGCCTGGACTTCTGGCAGTTCTCTGCAGATGAGCTGTTCCAGTCATTTTTGGATAATCTTCAGTAAAATCTTGCTTGCGTGTGAAATCAATAATATTGTTCTGTAGTTTCCACACTTTGCTGGGTCACCCTTCTTTGGAATGGGAACAGGTACTTCCTGAACTTTTTCAATGTCAACTAATTATGTTTGATATAGCAAGTCTGTGTATTCCTTCTAAGTGACAAATAATGTAAAACTAGGTTTATAATGTAAAACTGAGTGTTTATTCTAGAAACTTTGTTAGATGCTTTAGCTACTTGACTTCATTTTATTGTTGTTTAGAAACACTGATTATCATCAAATCACTTCATTCTCTGCAGTGCTATATTAGATACTGTGAAGTTAACTGAGACTTAGACATGGTAAAAATATTTTCAGTATGACATAGGAATTCTAGACATTCATTCATTCTGTATCAACTAATTTGTAGGTAGAAGTGATAATTCAAAAATACAATACTCTCTTTTCAAGCAAGAAACCTAGATTCAGATTTGACTAATGTATCTCATGCACAGTCACCACTATAGGTATGTTAATGACAGCAAGTGTGTTTCTGGAGTCCTGGTAACACAGCTGTTAAGTATTCAATTGCTAATAGCAGAGCTGACAATTTGAATCTGCCAGTGACTCCATGGGAGAAGACATTTTTAAAGATTACAGCTTTGGAAACCTGATCAGACCTATTCTAATCTAATCCTATTCTAATCTAATCCTATTCTAATCTAATCCTATTCTATTCTATTCTATTCTATTCTATTCTATTCTATTCTATTCTATTCTATTCTATTCTATTCTATTCTATTC